CACCACACCCAATGTGAGGGGGGTGACATTGATATATATAGCCAATTACATGGCAGCATATATGCAATACATGGCAGGTGCTAATCATACTAAATATAGACTTGCCTAATATACACTTTCCTAATGTATATATCTATCAGTAAGGTTGCAATATTGTGGCTTCAGAGTTGGAACCCAAAAGATGTTGTATCATCTACGACACTAGGAGGTCGCCGCACTGCACGGTCGCCGCACTGCGTGTACCTAGCTGCTCTGATATCAGTTCTTGCGTTGGATTCGTCCTTTTGGTTTCACACGATCAGTTTCTTTTATTAGTTCAGTCTCTGTGCTACACATCCTCGTACTTAGCATTTATTATTTTTTTATTACGCTTTTCTTGTCATTGGGCCTGCAAGGCGCAAGCCATGTCACTTTTCGGACTCCATTTTGAATCCAGGACTCTCAAAAGTAGTAGTAATAGGATTCAACTAGTTGTCAATTGCAATCCTAGCGCTAGCGGAATTTGGAAGGTAGGTATCTTTCTAATGAAGCATTTAGATGCTACACGTGAAGAATTAAAGAAGACAAGACAATATACACAAACGAAACTTTCCATGTGTTGAACCCCATCTTAGATTTCCAAGATTCCTATGGATTAAGCCATAGGAATTTTGTAGGATTTTTATATGCTCATCACTCCTTTTTTTTAAAAAAAAAGGGACACATGGGACGGTAAGAAGTATCCCTATAAGATTACAATTCTATAATTTTTTTTCAGCAATTATTTGTTCCAAGGGGGGCTTTTGACACCAATACTCTAGATGAACTATAGGCAGTGGTGGAGCTTGAACAATATCTTAAAGGGAGCTATCATTGAATTAGGGGAGCCACTAACGATGCGTGAATCAAATTAGCCATGAATTTGTTTCAAAAAAAATTAGCCATGAATTGTTTTATGTTTATATTAAGAAAAATTAAGATCCTAAGACATTGAACATTCTGCAAAATCTAATGCTGCCAAACCAATAAAAAACGTTATGAAGCAATGAAAAAAATAGACGGTTGAATCGTCGAGTACAACATAGGCTCAACACCTCCGATCCTTGATCTGTCATGTTGGATAATTGATTTTCTCCCCGCGATCGTTGATGATGAGGTCGACAACCTAGAGTTACTTGTCCTCATGAGGAGTGCCCAGAAGCATCTCTCTCTCTCTCCTTATAGATAATGGCTACAAATTGACCTCTTGCTGATGAAATCGATGTCCGCAATTGTGATCTCGTCGTGGCCATCACTGAAGTCATCACATGCAACAATCTCCCAACCAAAAAAATCATATCATTTTGCCGGTAGATTTATTTAGACTAAACCTGAACAAATTAGATCTAAATGACTATTGTAAATGAGAGATGGATCCCCTCTCCTTCTCGCTAGTGACAGACTCACGTGGAGAAAAAGAAGGAAGAGAGCCTAGGCGGCAATGACATGGAGGAGCCTAGAAGAGGCGAGCAACGGCTGTCTCCTAAGCTAATTGTTTGTGCTCAGTGGTGCTTTTTTAATCACCGAGTACCTCGATGTGGCCATTCTTCATCCAGAGCTGGAAAATCATACTATTTGGAGATGTACTAAGGATGCGTAGTATTCGGCCCGCTCGGCACACGCTTGCCTGCATCTCCCATTGCTCCACCTTCACGATGTCTCGCTCTGCCTCGACTACTGTCGGCTCGCGCAGAGGAGAGTATTTTGGGGTGGGCTCACAAACACATAGAATAATAAAGTTTTGCAGAGCTTGTTTTTCAACTTCCTCTCTTGCGTGCGGTTCCGTCCATAGTACATTTGGTTGATCATGTGCCGAACTTGCTTCCAGAGCGGCTCCACGACTGCTATTAAAGAGGCATAGCTGCGCGCAACAAAACAAAAGTGACTACATCTTCCCAAAAAAAGAGAGAATATATAGTTTAATAGTTTTAGGTCCTGTTTGTTTAGACTTCCTAGGAGGTTTTGGACCTTTCAAAAGCAAAAAAAAACCAAGAAGCCAAAAGCCATCTGGTGTTTTGGTTTATAGGAGATGTTTGGCTTTTGAGAAGTCAAAAAACTAGTAGTCTAAAAATAGCCAAAAGCTCAAATAAATAAAGCCTTGGTATTGTCTAAGTGAGCGTGAATTGTCGTGTCCAGCGTGAGCCAGAAAAGGCATGGCATTGACAAACTTTTGTATAGATTTGCACTATAATTTTATATTTATTATGTTGTGAATCATAAATAAAGAAGAGTACCTGTAAATAATTGTGTAATTTTTGACATGGAGAGACAAAAAAAAGTTATGTTGGAGTGGCAAGAACATGCTTAGAATTATACTCTAACGAGAGAAAGCTACATCCCAACTTATATATAGTTAGCCCTAAATGTTTTTATATTTTTGTTGTAACACATAGAATAAATCTCTATCAATTGAGCTATATCTCCAACTTCTATATAGTTTCTCCTAAACTCCTAATGTTTTTTTGTCATACAAAAGGGATACTTTTTTTGTTGTAACGCATAGAATAAAAAGCTCTACCAATTGAGCTATATCTCCAACTTTTATATAGTTTCTCCTAATTAGATTCCTAATGTTTTTATTTTTAGAATTAAACTCTACTGAGAGAAAGCTACATCCCAACTTCTACATAGTTAGCCCTAAATGTTTTTATAGTTTTTGTTGTAACGCATAGAATAAAGCTATACCAATTGAGCTGTATCTTCAACTTCTATATAGTTTCTCCTAAACTCCTTATGTTTTTTTTTGTCATACAAAAGAGATACTTTTTGTTGTAACGCATAGAATAAAGCTCTACCAATTGTGCTATATCTCCAACTTCTATACCATTTCTCCTAAATTCCTAATATTTTTATTTTTTTGTCATACAAAAGAGATATATAGTTTCTCCTAAATTCCTAATGTTTTTTTGTCATACAAAAGAGATATTTAAAAAATATTTTTGATGGAGATGCGAGGAATCGAAACCTGTACCTTTAATAAGCACTTTTAATGCTCTACCAATTGAGCTACATCCCCAACTTTTGTTTTCTTTTATTACTATTACACTGTATAAATATTTTATTTATTTATTTATTTGTCATGGAACATAAATAAATAGTTTAATTTTACACTATATAAATATTTTATTTTATTTATGGCGATGCACGAATCAGATCCTGTAATAACTCTATGTATATAGCATAATATCCACCCCAAATTTCTATTAGTTTTGCACTATTAAAAATTAAAAAAAAACTTGTGCTAGAGACGCGAGGAAAATTGAACCCCGGTCTTTATCGTCATCAAAAGGAAAATTGAGCCCATATAAGCATATCCGAACAAAGGCAACAGCAGCGTACGAGTCTACCGAGACGTGCGGTGGCGCGCGTACTCCACGCAGCGTGATGTATGTGCGGCGGCCTCGCCTGCAGATGCACGGTGGCGTACGGCGTACCCATCCATCCATCATCAGGCCATCACGCGATGTGCGTGGCATGATTTCGGCACGAGCGAGGCCGGCCAGCGCCGCGCGCGCACGCAGGCTCCGTGCACGCGCACGGCCCGTCGAGCGATTTCTCCGCGCGGCGGGCGGTATTTCTCCGCGCGGCGGGCGGTGCCGTCACTGCCGTGGCGGAGGACCGGAGCCCGGAGTTACTGCGACGGCACCGGCCTGTTCGCTTGTCAGCCGAGGTAGAATACAGTATTTTTCTCTAACAACAAAACAGCTTCAGCCGGTTTATCGCTGCTGGCGTCTGAAGCCCTTCCTGGACTCTGAACCTTGATCAACAACGAATCGATCAGCCAACGGCGACGATGCAGAGGCGACCAGGAAGCGCACACAACAAATGCCGAAATGTACAGTACATGTGGAGGTTGATTATTTGGTCTGCAGCTTCTTGAACACGTCCTTGAAAGAACAGATTCTTGAACATTTCTTCCAAAAAAAAAACAGTTTCTTGAACACGTCAATAAATAAATAACTGGATTTCTGAAACTGGTACTGTGTTGTTTCAATGCACGCATGTGGATTGTCTCCCTATAAGAACTAGGGGACTTAAACTCATGGCATTCACATTAGTCACCCCAAATCCACCCTGACCCTGATGGATGTATGATGTATCTAATGCCTTTCGGAGTGGGGTCCATCCAGCTTAAGTTTGAGCTACAAGTGACCGGTGAACTGGGGATTCTCTTCAGCTGTACTGAACTACTGAAGTACTGATGGTGCAGCAGCAACCTTCACCACATAAAGGAAGCCATCATAAAGAAGGCACTTCCACTGCACACGCACACACAAATAAGCACCTGAACTCTACACAAGGCATTTGTCATTGCCAGCACCAGCAAGTAGACTCTTTCATTTGACTTCGTTCGCTCAAATTAAGAAATTATTACATTATTAAGAATTAAGCAAGTAGGACACTCTTCTCTCGCTAAAACTAACCTCAAGCGCTCCTGTGTTCAGATGCGAGTTGGGAGGGTTGGATCTGTGTGATCGGTCTTTAGTCGAGTTTCTGTTTTGTAGCTGGGAGCGTGTTCTTTTGGAAGTTTGCTTAACTCGAGATGCTTTGTCATCCGAATGCTGTAAAATGCTTGTTGGTATTTACTATTTAGCTATGCTGACTGGGGTTGATTCCCTAAAATCATGATCATATATACGCAGCAAACAATATGCAAGAGCAATCATGACGTTCATAGCAGGCAAAATTGATATTCATGGAAGCCTCTTTTTCGCTTTCAGGGTACGGTGTCCATTATCCATTTTTATACAAGAACAAAACCATTGGTAAAATTCCCAACACTTCCAACTAGAGAACACAACATCCTACCACCACTCTTCCATCTTGATCCTTTGACATCTGATACTCTCTTTTGCAAATGCAAGGCCTTCATTGTTGTACTTGTACCCAGTCAGTCAGCGGGCATTTCAAAGCTCAACACAATCATTTGGTCAGGGAGTGTGCACTTGGGCAGGGATGCCACAATCCTTGACCCAGTTTCATCATTTGTGGTAAACTTCTATTGGGCGGTTGAAACCACTGACGGTACCCACCAATCTGTCCGCAATCAACTCTACCGACCTAAATCCAATCTGGCAGCACAAACACCACATTGTTTACTGAAATTCTGCTGAAAGGGTCAAGAACAAAACTTTGAGTTGGCAGCCAATAAAATACCTTGTCTAGAAGGATCTCCCGAAACGTCTCTGGGTACATACAGATGGTATTGAAGTTCTCTTTGGCAACCTGAAAACAGGTAGGGAAAAGGTAGTAAGAATTGCAGGTTTATCACGCTCAGGGAAATTTAAAGGTCTACAACATGAAAGAATCAAGAATTTGTATTAAATTTGGCAGAGGATTTTGATCATTTATGGTATGTTCACTTGAGCTTAGGATCAAGAGTGCAGCAGCTAAGAACATAGGCTTGTCAAGAGTCACATTTAGCCTAATTAATGGAAAGTGCAGCAAGATTTTCACAAACAACTTCCTTCTAAGAAACAACTAACATTACCCGTTTCAATGCAGTGTAAAGAAAAATATCAAGAAGGGTTAGCTGGTCACATAATCTGAACAAAAAGAACCAACCTCTGAAACTAATCTGTTATTCTTATATGAACTCCATGGTTGAGGCTCCATGATAAAAACACCTCCCTGCAAAATTACATATGGGAAAAATATGTAATTTTCCTCTTACCGTCTATGTGCAATTTAGAAGACCAGCAAATAGAGTGGCATAGATACCGGTCTAAGAAGCCTCCAAATCTTCACGAACAGAGTAACTAGGCCATCATCACCCCAGTTCAGGTGGATCCATTTTGTCACACTCAAACTACATCATAAAAAAATTAAAAAAATAAGCTAGTGGCACTGTGGGAAAGAACAGTACAAAGAAAACTTCAATTCTTGAGAGATAGTTATCGTTAATCTGTAACTTACCAGAGTATGGTGTCATACTGTTCTGAACATCCATCCATACTCTCTACAAAATTTTCACGTCGAAAAGAGACAATTTTAAAAAGATCTTGGTGCCTGTTCCCATTTGATAACTCAGATGCCACTTCTCCTGGAGAGCTCTGAGAAGGAGAATCTGACAATTCCTGAGCTTTCACGTTTTTTGTAGCCACCTTATCCTGCCGCATTATCCTTCGTAGGTTCCACTTAGCAGTCTCAATCAAACCTAACAGGGAAAGATAAAAATGATTTCAACAGCAACAACCACTGTTTTGAAAGTCGACGACTACGACACGCCTAGTCGCGCCTAGTCGCTAGGCTACGGCCCGGCGCCTGGACTAGGGGGGTAGTCGCCCCTCAAGTCGACGGGAGCGCCTAGGCTGCGCTAGGCGGCGCCTCCGCGCGACTCGGCGGCGCCCAGAAGCCCTAGGCGGCGCGGAATCGACTCGAGTCGGCCCGGGTTTCCCAGCGCGCGCAAAATATTACGCGGCGGCCGGCGAGCGCGCGCGGGAAAGGTTGGCGCCGGGGGGAAATTGCCGCGCGCGTGCGACGGATAAGGCCGCGTATGGGTACCGAAGCCGCGCGCGACGCTATTCCGCTGCCAAGCGACGCTCCTCTCCGCCGGGAAGCAGCTTCCGCCGGCGCCGACGCTCCTCCCCGCTCGCCAGTCCGTTCCGACCTCGTCCTCCTCCACTCCTCCTCGGTCTCCGCCCAGCTCGTCCTCCTCCCCGCATCGAAGCCTCGAAGGGCCTCCCCGCCGGCCAACTCCCCGCCGCCCAGTACCCTCCCCGACGGTCATCTCCCTCAGGCGGAGCCCCAGCCCCCAAGGCCGACGCCCGAAGCCGAAGGTATGTCCTCTCCTGCTCTGCTCTGCTCCCTTGAACTGTTCTGCTCTGTTTCCCTGCTGCTCTCCTCTCCTCTGTTTCTGAAATCTGAAGTATGAATCTGTGAATTGCTGTAGTACTGCATGTATATATCATTATATCTGATTGCTTGTTCTGAAATCTGATTGCATGTCTATCTAAATTATTCATGATTTCTGCTATATAAATATATATATTATGCTATATATATTATATATTATACTAAATTGGCAAAACGCCTAGCATCGCCTAGGCTAGCCTAGGCTGGACTAGTCGCTAGGCTAGGGGTCATCGCCTAGATTTCGCCTAGCGCCTAGAAAAACTATGGCAACAACAAAGCCTTTAAGTCCCAAACAAGTTGAGGTAGGCTAAAGTTGAAACCCAGCAGAAGCAATCAAGGTTCAGGCACGTGAATAGTTGTTTTCCAAGCACTCCTATCTAAGGCTAAGTCTTTGGGTATATTCCATCATTTCAAGTCTCCTTTTATTGCTTCTACCCAAGTCAACTTCGGTCTTCCTCTGCCTCTCTTCATGTTACTATCCTGGCTTAGGATTTCACTATGCATCGGTGCCTCTGGAGGTCTCCGTTGGACATGTCCAAACCATCTCAACCGGTGTTGGGAGGAGATTCGATTCAATTAGGATTCCACTATGCACCGGTGCCTCTGGAAGTCTCCGTTGGACATGTCCAAACCATCTCAACCGGTGTTGGGAGGAGATTCGATTCAATTAATATTCAACGACAGAACATGAGAGGAGATTCGACACGCAACAGGAGTTTATTAGGGGGGATTAAAAACCTGAATCAATATCAACTCCAAGAATGCTTCGACAATTAAATTTCATGGCTGCACAAGATTAAGAAAACAAACGTGAGAAACCTAATGACCTCATCTTGGGGATTGAGACATTTGTCTACAAGAACTACATAGCACCTATAAGCATGCTATATAAGAATGTAGCGAATGAAATCAAGAGTTTATACCCCAAAATCAAAAGGTTACCTAAGCCAATCGTTACCAAACCCTGGTTGCATCCAATATCGAGACAATCCTTGTTTTCAAACCACTGCTTCTTGAACGCCTCGAGGCGAGGATCTTCACCAACATTACGGTCAATCTGTAGAATTATTGAAGTTATAATTTATATCAGCTGGAAAATGTTAAATCCCCTCTCACCCTAATAGCATTTAGGCATGCTATTACAGAATAAAATATTGGAAAATCCGAGGTTAGGAGTTACATGTAAAAGAGCTCCATCTACTCATCCCTGCCCACTAGTCATTAGGCATGCTAATGCTATTATACCGAATAAATATTGGAAAATCTGAGGTCAGGAGGTACATGTAAAAGAGCTCATCTACTCATCCCTCACAGTAGTCCGGCCAACAACACAGTCCACAGGCCAGTACCAGTGCTTTCATCCCCGTGAACCATCTCTAGTCACGCACTTAGGGATGTAAGTTTAACTTTCTCTGGGTCATGGGTCAATCCAAAACAACCCAATTGAACCGAAATACCCAAACCCCACGAACACCTGAACCTACTGTGAGGCATATCGTCGAACAGCTGGCGACCGCGCGTGAACACTGATTGAAGTGTAGCAGTTCCAGGGAAAAGCACAAACGGAAGCGGTTTCGCGCTCACCCGGTAGCCGTAGTAGTTCTTGTAGTTGCCGTAGATGAAGACCTCCTTCTTCTTCCGCTTCTGCCAGCCGCCGCCGCCGCTGCTACCTGCGCCTCCCTGGCCTTCCTCTCCCTGTTCGCTGCTCCGCTTGGGGCGGATCCAGTAAAGGGACATGGGTGTACACCTGTACACCCAATAATTTTTGCAAAAACGTCGAAGTTTGGTGTGGCTTGTCAAATACTAGCTAATAGCTTTAGGTTAGGGTTTCGGTGATCAGCTTGAAGGGAAGGGAAGGGAAGAGAAGGGATGGAAGTACCTGGTGGGTGCTCGTCGCCGATCCACTTCAAACTCAGATCCAACGCATCTAAATCATCCATGCTGATCTGAGCAGTGACCCAGTTGAAAACCCGGTCGGAAACTCTTTACGTTACGTTGACAACAGTTTCTCTCCTGCCGACATTTTGCGTTGGATTTTTCTCTCACCCTCCTCCACGAGTCCACGCCTACCTGCCCGCCGTACCCACGCATACCCGCAGCCTACCCACCCTCCCTTCCTTTTGCGTCGATTCTCCCCGTCGCCTCAATCGAAAAAAAAACCGTCGTTCACCCCTTCCTCTTGCCGCCGCAAAACCGCCGCCTCCGCAAAAGTTGCCCAGACCGCACCTCCGCCCGTCGCCCCCTCCGCTCTGCACTCCGTCCCTCGCCGGCTCGCCCCTTCCCTGGAGACTCCGCCCTGGCCCCTCGGCCGGTCGCCGGCCACTGCCCAGCCCCAGCGCCCCGCGTCCACGGCTCCACACGAACAGGGAAACTCCGTCCCAATCCGCGTAGCCGCCCCGACACAGGCCCCCGACGGCCGACCTCACCCTCTGCTTTATCAGGCAACTCGCGCCCGTCGTCACGGGGGAGGGCGGCCCCAGCGCCACCGTCGACCCTTACGCGCGCCCTCCTCCCGCACCTCGACGCCGCCCACCGGTTCTCCACTTCCTCCTTCTCTACCTCCGCCCTATCACGCCTGGAGAATGCGTTAGCGTGTGGGGAGCCCCGGCGATACCCGAGGAAACGGAGGCGTTGCTGCGGCACGACACGGATGCCTACGCGGCGGCGGAGCCGGTTCTAGACTTGGTGGTGAAGGTGTTCACGGTGTCCAGCAGCCCCGACTGCTTCTTGATGGTTCATTCAAGGTATGCGAGTTGTCGATCGATCTCTTCGATCGTGTTTGATTTCTACTAGGACTGTTTCCAATGAAGTTGTGAATCGTAGTGTGCAATTGTGGATTCGGATTATGTGTAGTCTATGCGAACTGTTGAGATCTCAGCTTTGTTTCATATCTACAAGACCGATCGGCTTTGATTGTTTCCTGCTTGATTCATAGATTAGTCAACAGTAATTCATACAGATCCGAGTTGAGAGGAGGCCGTTCGAATGTATTTAAGATGCCTGTTTTTAGGTCGTCCTCTTGGCGAAACAAAAACAATACCAAGCTTGTTGTAGACATGCAGATATGCCAAGAGGACGTACCGTGGCCGGGGGGTAATCTTTTGGGGTAAATCTTTTTTTTTAATTTCTGGACAAGGATAATTAAGAAAACTTATGAGTATGACTTGTCTTTGTTGTTTACTATATAGCTGGTACTCCTGTTCAGAGCATTTAATTAATTCTCAGTATGCAATGGCATCTGAATTGTTTATCGGTTGTCAGAGTAGATTCATTGTCGATGATACTTTTTCGTATATCGTTCTACTTTCAATCGGTTGGCATTGTCAATGAATATTTGTTTCTTTCAATTCAATGCAACAGATTCATTGCCGATGATACTTTTTCGTAGATCGTTCTACTTTCTATCGGTTACATTGCCAATTCATATTTGGTTCTTTCATTTCAATTCAACAGATGAGATCTTTGTCAAGACCCTCACCACCAAGTGCATCACTCTGGAGGTCGAGAGCTCGAACACCATCGACAATGTCAAGGCTTGTTAATTGATTGTCTGCACGTTGCTTCCTATAAAAGCATGGTATTATCTCCATAAAAAATAATGGTATGTAGGAATAACTTTTCTATAAATGCACTCCGGAGGGGCAGGAATTGATGTATTTGCTTAGTTAAATACTATGAATAAATATCAATTAAGTTTTTTAGCCTATTGAACTTCCTTGCTAAGTTTGCTCTTAATCCTGCTTACTGGCTATTTAGCTAAAATTACTTTTATAGTGAAAAACAATTTATTAAGTAAACAATTTATTCGGTACTCCTACTATAAATAATAAAGTTGTATGGTACACACATGCGTGTCGCACATGCCTGTCCATTAGATAATCATCATGACTAGATATTCTTGTACCTGCTTTTAGTGAATTTAAAGATCTCAAATGATTATTGGACTGTGATAACTGCCATCATCTCAAGGGAAGCTGGCTACTGGCGAACATTTGGTTGATGCTCAGCTTAAGCTATTTGCGGAGAAAACTCATGTCTGCATTCCATTTCATACACCATATATTATTATTAGTGTAGTCGTCCCAATGAGATATATAAAACTTATTTTATTTCAGTTTCGTTCAGGCAACAATCTTACTAATAATGTTGGAGTAGATGGGAATGTTGCAAATACACATTGATATTTGCACCAAGTGCAGTAAGACAGTTTGATATGGTGGTTCAACAATGTTTTGCATGTGTGTGAACAGTTTAACAACTGTCAGTTAGCTGAGCATTTACTTACAGAGGTAGCGAATTTATACACCTATGTTCCTTCCAGTCTACATAATGGCCATGCAGTAATCTATGCGTTGAACATTTGAATTTCGCCTTAAATATTTCTCTAAAACTGTAAGCATTTTCTATCTTCTGATGGTAGAAATGCCATGTGGCAACATAGCATTTACTAACTTGTTTGGCTCATCTGTTGCGCTATGTTTGACCTTAAAATAAGAGGGGTGCTATTTCTCGATGGAGATCTCAAACCACACTTACGATTTCACCTGCTTAAGATGACCACCAACATAGATCATGAAATCTATTTGAACCATTATTTTTTTTTAAAAAAAAAGCTTCTGAATCTTAGTGAATTCCTTGTAATTTTGTGTAGTGTAATTACCGCAAAAGGTAATGGAAAGGGAATATCTGCAATCAGTAAATGTATTTTAACAAAAACTTTCACGTATGCTTATAAACTGTGTTGGTAATTTTATTTTTCTTTCCAGTTGCAAAAACTTGGTTTGAACCGTCAAAATTTATGTATGACTGTTCTGTCGAAACTGATATATGGGAAAGGAATTGCATATGCCAACAAAGTAGTATGCTATCAACAGCTGTGTTGTTTATGATCCAGTAACATGAAAGGTCATCATCTCGCTAAATTGATGATAACATACACCATTTAGTTATTCTTATTGTCAAATCAATACATTGTATTGCTCCTTGAAAATATATTATTGTTAAATACTACCATGTTAAGATTTTTTTTAACCTACTCCACTCGAAAGCCACTATGGAAAAGTGAACTATACCTGTACTATTGCTATCATGACCTGTATATAATTATGATCCATTCATTTTACTTGCCTATTAGGACATCGATAGTCATTGGGACTGTACATTAACTTTGGTTCTATGAAATACCTTGAGTCCTCTGGAGCAGCAGATCGGCTAGAGCTAATGGCTCTTCAAGTGCACCACAAATATGTGTCATTTACGGCTGGTTTGTGAAGTAGAGGCCATTGGAGAGAGTGTTTCTGTGCCATCCTCTCGTGAACACTGAACAGATGTGCTATACTTATTCTGCATTCGAGGCTTATGTACCTGAGATGGTTGAAGCGCTCATTGATAGTGTGAGGAACCCAACATTTTTCGACTGGGAGGTTAAAGAACAGGTTGATGTTATTTGAAGGTTCCCTGACAGGATGTTTTATGTACCTGAGATGGTTGAAGCGCTCATTGATAGTGTGAGGAACCCAACATTTTTCGACTGGGAGGTTAAAGAACAGGTAGATGTTATTTGAAGGTTCCCTGACAGGATGTTTTATGTACCTGAGATGGTTGAAGCGCTCATTGATAGTGTGAGGAACCCAACATTTTTCGACTGGCAGGTTAAAGAACATGTATTTATTATTTGAAGGTTCCCTGGCAGGATGTTAATGATGTCTTGTTATGGCTACAGCTGCCAACCGACATAGTTGGAGTTCTTAGTGATCCTCGAAGCTTATTTTTCAAATAGATTTTTATATGTATAATGGTATATATTATAGATAGAAAACTACAAAGATTCTACATGTAATCTCTCTCAGGCACACAAACTCTACCATTACAATAAGTGAAATACAAGAGGTATTTTACTCTCTATGATCACATCATCTACCACTATAACAAACAACTACACAAAGACCTTTTAGCCTTTGTTTGCACCATATATTGTAAAAAGGAGTTTGTAAAGTCTGGATTGCAAAAAGCTAGATTGTAGATTAGGAATATTTTGTATATGACATAGGAATTAACTTGTTCAACATTTGGTTTTATACTCATCTATCTTGATTTTTTTCATATATGCACGTGCGTGTTGCACGTGCATATCTACTATACTAGCTAATAGCTTTAGGTTAGGGTTTCGGTGCTCAGTTTGAAGGGAAGGGAAGAGAAGGGGTGGAAGTACCTGGTGTGTGCTCGTCGTCGGCGAAGAGACCAACTAAGGCCTCAGCACCTGGCGGCGGCGGCGGCGGCCCACCAGTCGTCGGAGAGCGAGAGGGGGCGACAGAACGCAGAGTAGGGATGCAGCGGACAGAAGGGGATTGAGGGCGTGTTT